AGTTATTTTTAGAGTAAAGTATGAAGTCTTTCTCGAAAGCATCAGTACGGTCAGGTTGATTTTGACTCTGGCTTCATTGCTCGTAGCAACGAGGCCAGCATTCGTGGAAGCGAACTCAGAAGATCATCCGTAAACGATAAATGGCTTAGTCAAACCACTTGAACTGTGACGTTCTCCGTCACTAGACTCCTTCTGCTGATCCAATCCGTTGAAACCATGAGCACCAGAGAATACAGCGCACTCCTTGATGGAGACCAGAAGTCCATCTTATGCCAAAAAATGTCACTTTTCGACTGTGAAAACTTTTAATACCTAACTCAATGAACTGGTTTTTTCGTTATCTTTTGCTCTTTTCCTCAGATGTCTTTAATGAGCAGCGAAAGCACGTCTGCTGCTGAAATGCAAAACTGGTTTGTCAAAAAATAAAATAAAATAAACACCTATACTTTCAGTCGTAGTTTACAGACCTTTTTATTGTAGTTACGACATCTACCATATTTCGACCAGCGTCGCCGGAGTGGCTCCTGTTGGCAGGATGTGTGATAAAGCATTCAGTTGTTCTCTGATCGAAGGCATGCACCTCGGTCGTTCTTTTGTGCTGGCACATGAAATGGGACACAGGTATACTGTACCAAACTATAGGCGTAGACATGAGGAATTGTGTCGTATGTTTTAGTCTAGGTATGGTTCACGACGGTGTGCAAAACCAATGTTCCAAAACGTGCTGTTTGATGTCGACTATCAACGGTGCCGGGAGGACAAAGTGGTCCCCTTGTTCAGTGCGAGAGTATCAAGCCTTCCTTTTCTCTGTCAAGTGAGTACCAGAGTACTGAGTAAGGCGTCCAACCTTAAACTGGATCGGATGTCGTCGCTGCATATTGACAATCCACTGAAGACTGTTGATTATTTATTTCCGTAGTACAGTGCTGCGATAGTTCGTCATACCAATCGCTAACTTTTATCGAGTTGGTAGCCAGCAATCTGCAAACAATCCAAAGTAATGCATAACATTTTTTATGGCCTTCCACTAATGCCATGTACCAGTTACCGTAATGGACGTCATACTGTTCAGATTGGGCACGAGAAAACTACTTGTTTCGTGGAAGCTTCTTATTTCAGCAAAAAGTTGCTCGTCGATCAATATCGTTTTCCAAAAAGTTCACTTCTGTAAAATTTTAATGAAGTGAACGCAGTTTTATCGCAGTAAACACTCTTCCTTGTCAACGGGTGACAAAGGCACTATGGCAATTGCTGCAACCATGCTCATTCTTCAGCAAACAGCAGGTGCATGTTTGCAATTATGTCGATTTCTCTGCAGCATCGATTTGCCAAGTAGAAAATAAAACCATGAAAAGGCAGTTGGCGTATGTATCAGCTTTTTATGGAATGGCGAACTTCCAGTGCACATCTACTGCTTATAAGGAACGAGAATTTGTTTAATATAATAGTACGTTAACTGAATAGAGTATAAGAAATATATGAATAGTATGTTACATTGAATGAGAAGACTAACGCATGGTGAAGATTTTTTAATTCTGCTAGGAAATATTCCTACCTCATAATAAATGGTGATGAAGCAGGAAATACGGACGGTTCTGCTTAAAGAAACAGGAAATAGCCCGCATATGCGAAAGCCCAGGCTACAAGCTAGCAAACTTCAGTTGTCTTCTGATCAGAGATAAACAGTTTAATCAAAGACCATGTGACTCCACACTGAGCTAACATAAAATGTATGCATTTTGGTCTGTTGCTCTCTCTTGTCTGTTGTTCGTTTTTCGTTTCTGCCGCTCTTGATGCTCTCTTGCGCCAGGAACAACCAAAAC